AACAAATTAACAAACTCACTGATTTAAAAAGAAGGAGGAGGAGCAGGAGGAGGAGGAGGAGGAGGAGGAGGAGGAGGAGGAGGAGGAGGAGGAGGAGGAGAAGGAGGAGAACACAATAACCCTGTCTCTATCACATACAGTGAATTTTCAAGGGGAGAAATAACGCTCTACACCAAGAAATCTCTAGTAAGGATGGTTTCACTGCTGAATTCTATCAAGCTCTTAAGACATCATGACCCTAGGTACATGTATGAAGACACAAATGGTGTGACTCTACTTTGTGTACAACCAGAGAAATGAAAAATTGGGCTCCATTTGTGTCCTATGAATCAAAATGCATTCTGCTGTCATGGATTAGAACCAATAAATCAATAAATAAAAAGACAGAATAACAATTTCACAAAACACTCTTTCAGAAAATAGAAAAGGAAAGACATGCCCAGCTCATTTTATGAGGTGAGCATTATCCTAGAACCAAAAGCAAATAAATTAAAATAAATGTACAGAATAATGCTCATCATGAACATCTGTGCAAAAATCTTTTCACAAAATCATATCAAATCAAATCTAGAAATATATAAAATAACAAATCATGATCCTACTGCCTCAGCAACCAGAGTCACTGGGATTACAGGTGTGCAGAAATGAAAGGGTGGCTTACCATTTGAAAATCAATCAATATATTTACATTCAAAGAAAGGAAGGATACGAGAAAGGGGGAGGGAAGGGAAGAAGGAAGAAAAAAAGGAAAGAAAACAAACCATAATTTGGACAATATGCATAATGAATGTGAGATAGATCAGAGAACTGAAGTTATAAAATTTCTAGATAAAAACAGGAAAAAAAATCTTTGGAGTGGGGTGTGGCTCAGTGTGGAGTGCCTACCTAGCATATGTGAGATCCTGGGTTTGATCCCCAGTACTGGAAACACACACACACACACACACACACACACACTTCATGACTCTGGGTTAGACAAACATGTTCTTAGGACACAAAAAGCACAAACTGTGGAAAAAAATTGATAAATAGATGCTATGGTTTGGATATGGTTTGGGTGTGTCCCTCAAAGACTTATGTGGTGGAGGCTTGGTCCCCAGGGCACTGGCATTGAGGTGGTAGTAGTCCCATGAAGACATGATTAGATCACAAAGGAATTACACTTAGGAGGGTTTAATGTAATTCTCACTGGACTGTGTTGCTTCCTTGCTCACACAGGTGCCCCTTTTGGACATAGTTTGTTCCCTCTCCACTTCTCCACCATATTCTAACAACTAGATGGCACACCATGCTCTTTGGACTTTCCAGCCAGCAGAATCATGAGCCAAAACATTTTTTTCTTCATAAATTACCCAGCATCAGATAATCTGTTATAGTAATCATTTTTGTAGGTTCACAAGCAAACTAAGACAATGGACTGTCTTAAAATAAAAATGAGAAAAACTCTGCTCTTCAAAAGATACTGTAATAAAAATAAAAATCAAGCCACAAACTTTTAAACTACTTTCAAAACATTTATCTGAGAAAAAATTATATATTGAATATATAAAGAACTTTTATAATTTAGTAGTAAGGAGATAAAATACTTAAAGGATAATAATAATAAGCAAAATATCTGAATAGATATTTCACCAAAGAAGACATAAAAATGGGTAATAAATGTACAAAACGATGCTCAGCATCATTAGTAAATAGAAAAATGAACACTAAAACTGAAGTAAAATACTGTCATACATATACCACTATGCCCACAGTTTAAGAGACTGGTAAGGCCAAGGACTGGAAAGAACACAACTAGAAGTCTCATGCTAATTTTGGCAACTACTTTGAAACAATCTGAAAAAAATTTTAAAATAAGTTTCACTGATCGTGTAACTTAATAATTCTACTCTTAAGCATTTACCGAAAAGAAATGAAAACATGATCAATACAAAACTCATATGTTTATTGAAGTCTCCTTATTAATAGTCAAAAGCTGGGGAAAATCCAAGTGCACATCAGCTGCCAAATGCATCAGCAAATTATGGTACATACGTGTGATTGAGTACTATTGAGAAATAGAAAGGAACCAACAACTGATATATATATGTATCAACATGGATGATTCATGGAAAAAATTGTGAAAGAAACCATATCCAAAGACTACATAGAGTTGAATTCCATTTGTATGATATTTTTGAAAAGACAAAACTATAGGGATAGTAAGAAGAGGCTTGAGGGAGTTTTTTCCTGTCGTGATAGAAAAGTTCTATGTCACGGTTACAAGACTGAACGCCTTTGTCAAAGTTCATAGAAGTGTACACTTATGTTGTGAATTTTAAAGTGTTCTGAATTCCATTGCAATAAATGAGACTCCCCCCCCTCAAAGCAAGGTGCATGATAGAGCATGTGGTGTAATAACTTCTGTATTAAATAAAAGGAAAACAAAAAGAGAATTTCAAATATATGAACTTAGACCCATAATTGCCAGAAAAAGCGCACAGAAAATTTGGGGAAGCATGTTCAATGGAAATGTTTAGAACGGCTTGCCTCAGGAGGTGGAAATGGGATGTCTGAGGGAGTATGGTTCCAGAGTGACCCTTTTGTGCTTTTTGAATTTGTGAACCATGCAAATAACCCAAGAGAAGGTTCTGGGCTCATCTCATTCAATAGTGTCTGGGAAACATGGCCTGCCTGGCCTTCCCTGCTAGGTTGAAAAATGGCTCCTAATATGTCCATGCCCTTATCCTTAGAAGCTGTGAATGTTAAACATGGTAGAAAGCACTTGCAGATGTGAATGAGCCAAAGATCTTAAAATGGGGAGATCACCCTGAATTACCCAAGTGGGATAATCTAATTATATGGGTCCATAAAACAGATACAGGAGGAGTCACATCAGAGGAAGGCAAGGCGATGATTGACATGGGCCACACAGTTAGCTTCCAGAAATGGCAAAGAGAAGGAATGCTCCCCTTGAACCACCAGCAGGAACACAGCCTGCCACAACCTTGATTTTAGCCCCATCACTTGATCCGGGTTTGTGACCTCCAGAGATAGAAGAGAACATTTGTGTTATTTTGAAGTCACTAAGCTTTTGCTCAATTGTTACAGCACCGGTAACAAGTGAATGCCCTCATATCCTGGTCTCTATTTCTTTCTAACACGACTGCCATTGGCCACATTTTCTATTTGCTTATTTCTTTGTCTCTCAGTTTCTTCTCTCACTACAGTGCAAAGTGCAGGGGAGGTAGGACTTTGTTTTTCTGCATTGTTATGAAACCAGTGCCTGCCACAATAGCTGTTTCAGGAATTAAATGAATGATATATTTAACTAATTTAGTAGTTGGTCAACACTTTGAAATGATTAAGCTTCAAAAACATGTTGGTTGATGGGAGCTAAGACCAGCAGGGGCAGTTTCATGAGACTTTGGTCCAAAATAAAATTTTTGAAAAGCAGGGGATGAAGCTCAGTAGTATAGTGCTTGCACCTGGCATGCATAGGGCCTGGGTTCAATCCCTAGTAACACACACACACACACACACACACACACACACACACACACACACCACCACCACCACCACCACCACCACCACTATTGGTTGAGCATATAGTTATAAACCTGCCTTCCTGCTATTTTCTTTCTTTCTTTTTCAGTGATACCTGGGATTGAACCAGGGGCACTTTACTACTGAGCCACATCCCAGCCCCTTTTTAAATTTTTTTTTATTATTATTTTGAAGCAAGGTCCCTCTGAGTTGTTTAGGGCCTCGCTAAGTTGATGAGGCTGGCTTTGAACTTGTATCCTCCTGCCTCAGCCTCTCAAGCCGCTGGGATTACAGGAGTGCGCCACTGCGTCCAGCTTCTGCCTGCTATTTTCACTGACATGGCTAGTACAGGTGAGAACAGGTACAAATGGATACAGGTGTCGATGCAACCCAAAAGGAGGAAACCCAGCCTGCACAGCCATTAATCCTTCTAGGAACATGGTGAACCATAGAGTCCCCTCCAGCGTGGGGGTCTAGCAACTTCCACAGAGGTCAGAGGAGAAAGGAACCCAAAAAGGTCACTTTATAAAAGACACTTACAGTAGAATAAAGAACACACAAAACAGTTAAAGTACAAAGTAGAATACATTAAAGTATTCAATTTATTTATCTAGTAAAAAAAGTGTATTTCATTAGATTATTGAAACCAGGAAAAGAAGAAATGACTGTGTATTGTAGGTTCATAGTAGTAATCATTTTTATTAGTAAGAAATAGCAGTATTTACTAATTTTGTCTTCTTATTCAAAAATTCATGTAAAGATGAATATTCTATGTATGGAAGTGTTGGAAAAAATGTTGCCATCTTGTTTAATAAGGGATCATTCTTTTTACTCTGAATTTCACTTTATACTTTGATAATAATATTCATGATCATGACCAGTCTAATAAAAAGATCACCAAACTTTTAGTTTCAGTATTATAAGCATTAAATATTAACATGCAGCTAGCATTTTAATACCACTGAAATCATTTTACTTCATCAGAATTTCAATTATATTGGAGCCAAAGGGCAAGTTCTGTTATAGAGATAGTATTTATTGACCATGTAATCTGAAGTATCTCTGACCTTAGAAACGTAAGGAGGAAACTTTAGCACCTGACTGTAGATTTGACTTTCTCCTACAAGCCTTGGTTTCTTTTTGATGAAGGAAATTTAATGTGACAGCCAAATGCACTTAACTTGAGCAGGAATTTATGCTCACTTGTACAAATTCTTAAAAAGTGCTTTGCCCGTTGTTTATAGAAGTCAATAATAAAATATACATTTAAAATGTACTTTCCAATTCTTGTGGTTTGGGGGAGTCCTAGGTACCTTCTGAAATGACTGGTTTAATCAGACTTATCCTTGAGTATATATGGGGAGTCCAGGAACATGGAACCACACACATCTCCTTTGTCACTCAAAGCAAACTAAAACAGCAGTGATGTCACCTTGTCACCTATGTGTGCAAGCGTCTACCAGAGTAGTTCTTACCTTCACAAACAGGAAAATCTCAGGGTTCATGGAAACTGTTTGATTTTTTTCCAAATCATCAGTTTCAGAATAGGAGATGGGGGAGTCCTTGCTGGCGAAGAAGGTCTGGCAGCGCTGGATGGTGAAGCTTGCAGGAGAAGGCAGGTCTTCCTTTATCCTGCTTCCATTTTCCAGTGGCTCCTCTGGGCAGCCCCCATGGTCCTGGAATGGTGAATGGCATTCTTCCACTGAGATGTCCCCATCCTCCTGGAGGTCCACTGTTTGAGGATCCTGGACCTCAGGGCACACCTCATCGGGCAGGAGGTAGTCTTCTACTTCTGCTTGGGAAGAGCCCAACCCGTTCTCTTCCTCCCTAACAGCATAGACTGACACAGAATCGTATTCGTGGTTTTGCAGCCCAGCGGCATATAAGGTGTTTTCTGGTCTGTCATCTTCCTGGACAGCATCATATAAAGGACCTGCATTATCTTCTGGAACCTCATATATCCTGTCTTTCTGGATTGTGTCGTAGATGTTGCTGTAGTCTTCATCATTCATGTTTGTGGATCTGCTAGTTCCTTCTGCAGGCGACCTGGAGAGATCTGAAATGAGGAAAGGGCTAGAAGATGCTGCTCCGTCTTGCAGAGGAATCAGTGGGCTTTTGAAACGCAGCAACCAGCCACAGCTCTCAATGACAGGTCTCTGACAATCATTTACCTGAGGCTTTAATAAGCAAACCGCAAGTCCACTGGACAGGAGGCGAAGTTTACACACTCGGTTAACTCTTTCACTCCTAAAGATATTGTCAACAAGACTCTGGGATTTTCCTTATTGTCAGTATCTCCAAGATTCTCTGGATAAACCAGAGGTTGAATTGTATTATCATCCCAGGGTACCCTAAAATTCTGAATATTTAACCATTTGTCACTAGTGTCCCTCTTCCAGTTGCCTCCCAGCAGTGACAACATTGAAGAAGTTCCTGAAATCCGGTGGAGATGGATAGTTCTCCCCAACGGCAACCCATCTATCCCAGCCAAATCCATTGCACAAATCAATTCTTTGTGAATTAAAAAACTGCAATGGCTGAGTTATACATACCCCTGTTCGATAATGAATTCCATTTACATTTCTTATCTGGAAACACCACTAGGTTCTTTAATGGCAAAAGGAAAAGAAGATAAATGCTCTGGTCTATGGGCACATCAGAACAGACCACTCAAATGACACTCAAAGGTTTATGGCTTTGGTTTTTATTTTCCCCTCTTCAATCTGTGTGGTCATCATAGGCAACAAAACATTCACTAAGATCCTCCTATGTGCAGGATATTGAACTGAAAAACTAGAGAAAAGAAGTCGAAGACGCAGTCTTTGTTTAGATGTAGATGTAGTTGGGGATTTTAGATGTAGTTGAGGGACCAAGAAGAGAAACTAAAACTTTAACAGCCACCAAAACAAAAACAACAAAAAAACTATGTAAGTTTTTTAGTGCAAGTTCAATTGTCCCAGGTTTAAAATAAGCAGTAAAGACGCGTATGTCCAAGGCCAGCCAGTAGCTGTCCTCTGCAGGCGCGGAGGGCACGTGCTCTTTGGTTTCAGTGTGGTGCTCTCTGTTCTGCCAAGTCCTGCTTCCCTTCACCATGCCATCTACATCTTTCTTTTTGAAGTGACAGCTCAGATGGTCGCCTAGAAATCATGTAAAATTGACAGGCTTCAAAACATTTGGTGGCATCTTAATGGCAACACTCTTATATTTATTCTCGGATACTAGTACTGAATCCAGGAATGCTCTGAAGGGAACTTGAGCAGCATTTAAAAAATTCTAGCTTTTGAGACAGATTAAAGGATAGGCAAGGGGAAAGAGGCTAGAGGCATATTCTAATGGCTATCAACACTAGCCCCTTTATGTTACTGAAAAGGAAGCTTTAAGAGGTAAAAATATCTGATAAATTACCTTTGGTTTCAGTATTAGACATTTATAACTCAATGGCCCCAGCACAAATTCTCCTTATGATTTTAGATGTGGAGATAACCTAACAGCTCACTCAGTCTGACATTGTATTGCCCATTTGAAAAACACGGAACTCAAAAAAGGGAAGTACCTGGTCCAATTTCACAGAGAGCTGACAGCAGAACTGAATTCAGCTGTGGTATTTTTTTCTTTCTTTCTTTTAATTTTTTTTTTTAGTCATACATGCACACGATATCTTTATTTTGTTTATTTTCATGTGGTGTTGAGGTTCGAACCCAGTGCCTCACCTGTGCGAGGCAAGCACTCTGCAGCTGAGCCACAACTCAGCCCTCAGTTGTGGTTTTTAAACCTCAAACTGATTTTGGTGAGCTTTCTGTTATGCACTCCTTTAATTTAGTGTTTCCCAGTCATTTTTCCATGATCACAACCCGTCTACCCCTGCCCCTGGAAAGTAAGTTTTGTTGTTGTTATTGTTGTTTTGCCTCCCAAGAACAAAGTTTCTCTTCTTTGGGAGGTAGATTTTCCCTTTTGAACATGCATGTCTGATGCTAAAACACTTAGCATGTATCAATCTATATTGTGTCATTCTGTATGTGTCATTCTATATTTTGACCAAAGGGTCACATTCAGTCATGTCTGCGTATGTGTAGAGCAGTTATTGGATTCTCACAATGACCCAGTGAGGCAGAATGAGGCTGGTTAAGTTTATTTAAGCCCATGATCACCTAGTGTATAAATCAGGTCAGCCTGTCACTCCATATCTGAACACACCTGTTATGACTGACAATCAAAGGTTGTATTATGAAGCAAGCCATATCACTTTCTGTTCGATATCTGCTGTGGTTCCTCATTTCTCTCAGTAAAAGCCAAAGTCCTTACAATGGCCCTCAGGGTCCTTTGTAATTTAGACTGGCTCCCCACACCTGCTTTTCTGCCTGCTCTAGACAATCTGACCCTGTTGCTATGCCTGGAACACTCTAGAACGCTCCCATTAGAGGACTTGTACATTGGCTGTTCTCTAATGGGAATACATTTACCCTGGACATCTGCAGACTCAACTCCTCCAACTTTTGTAAGTTTTTGCTTCTATGTCCACTTCTCCGTGAGATCATCCTGTTAACAATAACAATCCATCCCAGTTCTCATTCCCACCCCTCCCCATTCCTGAAAACCCTTACCCTGCCTTTTCTTCCTCTTTAGCCTACCACCTACCACCTTCTAATAAGATAGATACTTCAGGTCAGCCCACACCTGTAATCTCAGAGGCTCTGGACACTGAGGCAGTAGAATAGCAAGTTCAAAGCCAGCCTCCGCAATGGCGAGGTGCTGAACAACTCATTGAGACCCTGTCTCTAAATAAAATACAAAATAGGGATGGGGATGTGGCTCAGTGTTTGAGTTCCCCTGAGTTCAATCTCGGGTACTAAAAAATACACACACACACACACACACACACATGCACACACACACGCACACACACATTTAGTATGTCTAACGTTTATTCTCCATCTCCTCCATTTAGAACATAAAACCAACATGGGCACAGTCCTTGGTCTGCTTTTTCATCATTATTTCAAGCACTTAGAACAATGTCTGACTCATACCAAATGCTCAGTACATATCTGTTGAATGAATTTTGGTAATTGTTCGATATCTGTATCCTCCACTGGACATGGGAACAGGTACATTATTTAATTGCTCATCACTATGTATATAAAGTCAAACAGATATCTGACACATAATAGATGCTTACTAAACATTTGCTAAATAAATAAATTAAATGGAGGAGATGTATCTACAATTCATGCCCTTTCGTTCCTGGTCCAGTTTCTGTTCTCTGTTTTCTGTACAAGTGTTACTTGCCTTATACATTATACTTCATTAGAAACTCCTACAGGGGCAGCTTTGGAGCCAATGTCTGGTTTTCTGATTTGCATGTACAAAGATTTAATTTGGTTAGTTCACTCAGGTTTAGCTAATATTGTACAGTTGGACCACTTTAAATTTTAAAGAAAAACATATTTGCAAACTGAAATGCCAATTTGCTAAATTTACCACCAAAAACATAACTGCCAAACTGACTGTGCCGGTTTGAGATAATAATCCCACTTTCTTCACAATAACACTGTGTCTATATGGAACTATATTAAGATAGTATATGTGCTGCTTTTAGTATCTGAGGCAGTATCCTTTTTATCAAGACTCCTACTTTTTAATGATTTTTGCCTTTTCCTTCTATTTCAATCAGTCTTATTAAGGGTAATAAGACTGATTGAAATAGACAGGATTTTTTGGCTCTATTAATAGCATCTATTATGCATTTCTTTGCAATTTTATTCATTTCTCTGCTCTCTATTATTTATTTTCTTATCCTTTCTTTGGTTTTCTTTTGATGGTCTTTTAAAATCCTAAGACATAGTGATGGATACCTTAATCATTGGTTTTTGGTTTTTCTTCTTTTAAATATATGATTTAAGACTATGAATTTTAGGCTTCTACTGATGAGAATGAGAAGGCAGCTTTGTACATTGAAGGACATTGGCTGCAGAATCTGCGGCTTTGGCAAGATTTAAATCATGGCAAGTCCAAAAACTGATGCCCAATTCTAGATTATCAGTATTGAAAAAAAAAATTTCAACACTTTCTCTCAGAGGTGGAATGCACTGTGTACTGACCACATACAGAGATATTATTTTAATTATCCTATACTTGGATGGTCTAAAAAACTAGTTGTGAAAGCAACATAAATGTATGCTATATTGTTTTATCTTTTAAGTTCTCATACCTGGAGAAGCAAATGTCAATTCATTGTGTGATACTGAATTTATACAACAATTTATAAATTTGAAAAGAAAAGACTATGTATTTTCCTCAAAATACAGATTTATCCACCTGCCACCCACTTTGATATGTTTTGATTATCATTCAATTTTAATACTTCTTACTTTCTGTTGAGATTTTTTTTCTACCCTTACTCATGGATTATTTAGAAACATACTGATTAATTTATAAACAGTTGAAATTTTTCTAGTTATCTTCTTTTTGTTTATTTTTTTATCTCAATTGAGATTATGAATTAAGTACTATGGCCAGAAAACAGTCTTCACTGACTTTATTGAAATTTGTTTTAGACTTGCTTTATGGTCTAGCATATGAGCAACTTTGGAAATACTCCCATATGCACTTGAAAAGAACATGTGTTCCTCCATTATTAGGTATAGAGTTCTATAGATTATAATGAGGTTGTGCTTATTCATTTTTATAATTCAATTCTTTTATATTAATATTGATTTTCATCTGCTTTTGTATTAGTTACTGATAAGGAAAGTTAAAATCTTCCTCACAGTCATAGATTTGTCTAATTCATATTTCAGTTCTTTCAATTATTCTTTTGTATAGTTTTGAGGTTAAATCATTAGGTTCACATAAATCTAGAACTTTTATATCATTTTGGTAGGGGACTGATTTTTCGACAGAGAATGTCTTATTTTATCTCTATTAGTACCTTCGCCTTTCCCTGTTATCAGCTTTCTTTTGATTAGTGTTTATGTACATATTTTCCATGTTTTTATTTTCAACTTTTTGTGTCCTTATAAATAAACATTAATAGTTATGTTTTCTATAGAATTTGCCAATCTTTGTCTTTTAATTTGAGATAATCTATTAACATCTAACATAATTATAAGATTGAGCTAAATACACTATTTACACTTCCTATTTTAAAAAATCGGCAAAAACTTGAATAGACATTTTATCATAAAAATACATGATCTCATGAAAGAGAGCTCAAAATTATTAGTCATCATGGAAATACAATTAAAAAAGATCACTTCAAACTTCTATTTCAGCTAAAATTAAGATTGATAATTTTAGCACAAACAGAACTCTCTCACATTAGTCATGTGAGTATAAAACAGTAAATCACTTTGCAAAATTATTTTGCTAGTTTCTTATAAAATTAAACATATACTTACCCTATGACTCAGCTATTTCAACAAGCCTTAAAGATTTATCCAAGTGAAAAATGTCAGCAAAAAAAGAATTATATAAGAATGCTTTTGTGAACTTGATTCATGATCTCAAAAAAGTCGAAACTTCCATCAAGAGAAGAATGGATAAACAAAGTGTGATATATTCATCTGAGGAGTATCATTTGACAATAACAAAAAAATGAAATCCTGACATATGTAATGAAATGGATGAATCTTGGACCTTATGCTGTGTGAACGATGACAGACATACAGACATTAAAGAGTATAAAGCAATTATTCCAAATAATTACGTCCACTTAAAACTATATCCAAAAGTATAGTTTTTCTAATAATTCTTTCTAGTAGTGGGGCAAAAGGACCACTTCTAGAGCCCATGGGCAAGGAAAATCCTACTTAACAGCTGCCTAAGACTTCTTCCTCTAGAACTGTCACTAAGTTATGGGAATTGAATCCAACCCAATATTCTCTGGAGCACTGGCAGACTGGACCAGCCAGGCAGCCAGGATCCTACACTGACCTCACAGTGCCAGCAATGTCCTGACCTCCAATGCCAACAGGTACCCACCTTCAATCGTGTAATTACTAAGTGTTCGGGGCACCGCACACCGGCTATGTAGCTCAGACACCATCTACCCTCCCCATTCCTCATGCACTTGGGTAAATATGCCTTAAGTGTCAGTTTCATGGCTTTATTTCTCACCTATTTCTCTGAAGCTGGGTCCATCCAGATATCACCCAAACACAAAAATTCCATTTTTTTTTCAGTTTCTAATTTAAACAATTCACTTACATCTAAAAATTCCACAAAGGAAGTAGCTTCAATGGACATTTTAGGAGGTCATGGGAAGCAGTCACATCAGGTGGCACCTGTTCCCTGCTCACACCCTCCTTCTTACTCCTCTCTTCTCAGTTCCTCTTTCCTTCCACCCTCAGAGGAGCCATCCGTTCTCCAAGTTTCTCCTATCGACTGTTTTGCAGAACAGGTGCACTCACGTTTGGTTAGAACTTGGGGTCTCCTCACCTCCCTCCCACACAGGGTTCTCCGTGAGTGTCTTCAGAACACACACGTCACCCTCTCTGAAGAGAATTCTGATGGACACCACGCTCCCCATCTCGTTGCATTTATGTTTTGATTTGGCAACTCTGATGAGATTTGGGGGAATCTGTTCAACCAGTGGTCATGAACTTCCACACAGAGGAAGCGTCTCTGAACTGTTTTATCTAAGCTCAACTCACAGAGGAAATGGGCCTGGCCAGTGCACCTCAGACTCCGGGAGCAGCCCTGGGTTGCTCTGTCTGGATGGCCCTCCTCAGGTCATTGCACCAGTGGTTTGCAGAGACAGGGAAAGGAGGATGAGGATATGTCAAAAAGAATAAATGAGAAGGTCTTAGAATCATTCAAGGTGAGGATTGCTCTAGGCCTCGGTTTGCACTGAAGTTCAAATATTTGACTTTGACTAGGAATGCCCAGTTGAGTTTAATATCAGTTCATTCCAGTCAATCTGAAAGGCATCAAACCACAGACTCCTAGAATCAGAAGAGACAGAGGCCATATCCAACAATAGGCTCTGGCATGATTGATTGGACCCAGCTGATTTTGGTTACCTGTGACTTAAAGCATGATTCTGACCTGAGGTAGCTAGGTGAGCCATGTGAGCTTCAGGGAAATCAGCACAACCAGTTGGCCTCAGAGGGGCAAGAAAACGGTGACAGAAGGCCCGTGAACATAAGTTATTTTAAGGACAAGTTCCAGTGCCAATACCTGATCTTGTTTTTCTGACTTCTTCACCCCCACTTCTGCCCTCCCCTCATGGATGCTTCTTCCCTCTCGGGAGCCACTCAATTTCAACAAGTTTGTTGGGTTACCGTCTTAGCAATATTTTCATTTTAAAGAATGCAAAAATCTAATCAATGGAATGAATGGTTAATGGTCAAAACTCATTTCCCAACTCCAAAGAAGATCTATTTCTCAACTCTGTCTTCCCTACTTATTCTCACTTGTCCTATAGGTAAAATAATAGTAACAGTTTGTGATGTTGGAGGATTTACTTAAACAATGCAGGTAACAACCTTGTGGCTATGCCTGGATGCTTTTGATCGGTACTGCCACCACTGCTATTAGAATTTATCCCTCAGATAGCAATATGAATCCTTCTGTTGTCTTTTTTTTGAGAAATAATCAAACATTCTAGGTGCATCTAAATATGTTATATCTGAGAATATACAGATTTTAAAAGCTGTAAGATTCACCCTAAACCTCAGAAGTTTAAAATCTGATTGTTAAAATACAATGCTCAAGCAAGAGAAGTTAATTGACAAAATGAAGTATTATGTTCATTGACAAATAAGTTGACTAATCTTGGGACCATAATTTTTTGAGAGAGGGAAAGGACACTCTAGGCTGAGGATGAGGAGTAGTGACAGATGTGTCCTAGGTGGTAGGTGAGACCTGGATAAGTGGAGAAGATAATAGCAGAATTGAGAATTCACCATGATATGGGCTGTCACCTAACTTGAAGGGAGGATGCAGATTGTAGGAGGAATTAGAAGAGATGACAGTATAGGGTTATAGACTATGCTATATAGGTTATAGACTATGCTGACCTTGAATGCCAGGACCACGGAGCTGAATTTTATGCTCATGGGATAACACTGAGGATGAGCAGACACAGAATGAAGGAAATGGTTCAATTTCACAATCATTTAAATTCCAGCTGGATTGAAGACAGAGACGGGTGTTCAGAGAAAACCATTTCCAGTAGCTGGTGTTGGTCTACTGGCCATTGCAACACTGAAACCCACATTTCAGTTTGTGCACAGGGAAGGGACTTGTATGAGCCCTCTGAGCACCATGGGTCTGCTGGGTCACTGTGATCACTACACATGTCCTTCTCCATCTATTCCCCCTGACACTCTCTCCTCTAGTGCTATCAAAATTCCATTCCCAGCCACTTGCTGTGTGTTCTTCACTTACACAACCCTGATTAGCTGTTCCCACATTCTGAATGTCATTCTTCATGATTCTGACTCTCCAATATAACTCATTGTAGGTATCTTTCCATAAATATTTTCTTGACTAAGATCCCCAAATTTAACTTCACTTTCTTTCTTCACAAATTTCAAATAGTCCATCGACGGGCCCACCTCAGTGCTGTTGTACAATATATACGTGTGTGGAAGGTCCTAGAGGTGTCAGTAGTAGCCATCAGTGATAATTTATTACTCAGAGAATATGAAGAAAGGAAAGAGAAAGAGGGGAACATTACAGTGCAGAGGAGAAAAATGGGACCCTCTTCTGTCAAGCATGGATGAATTTCTCGGAACATGTCCCCATTATTGATACATGATTATATATCATTTTGAGTTTCTTGGATTCCTGTTGTATATCTAAGGTGTATGTATTTTTATATTTAACAGTCTAAAACCAAATCTTTTTTTTTTCAAACAAAAGAGAGCTTTGTTTGGCCAGGGACTGCTAAGAGCAAATCTTATACTAAGATTTTTTTTTTCTGATTATACAGGTAATTCATGCTCAATATAAAAAAGGTAAGAAAAACCATCTGTAATTCTACTTTCCAAAAGTAATTATGTTAACATTTCCTTGCTCTTTTTAAATATTTGTATGTACATGTATATTCACATATTTATTATACATATTGCTAATTTGGAATTGTGTATTTCACTATATTTTTAAAAAGATAACATGATATCTGTGAAATTTAAGCATATTTTACAAGGCCAGCAAATAGTAAATACTTAAATATTAGCTGGTATAATTGCAGATCTAGAAGTCACAAAGATATCTTTATTGTTGAGCAAAATAAATTTTTAAAAATTCAACTTTAAAGTTACATAAGAGATTGGTTCAACAAATCTGGCAATAAATGGAAACTCTTTCATTGTCCTTACCTCTGTGCATTGCCCAGGTTGTGACCTGTGGCTCTTAAGAGAACAGAGGTAATTAATACAGTGGTGAGGAGCTTGCTTCATGTTTTGCATGGTGTCTTCAGGTGATGAAAGATTTCCTTCTAAATTCCCCTTTCAGCAGATAGCATACTCAGGTGATGTGCACATACTGAACTTCCGGTTGGATTCTGCTTTACATTTGGGAGTGGAGTAGACAAACCAAGGGGGCAGTGAGGACAAATTATGGAATCATGGGATGGAAAAATTAAAAAGATTCCAGGATTATTGAGATGTTTCTTGTTTAATAAAAATCAAGAGGATGGAAGCAGAATGAACTGCATATTGTTTTAGTGACATGAGACATGGGGTAGGGGATACTTTGGTGCCAAGGAACTTGGACTTACATGTAGACTCTGCCACGTTCTGGGGGATTTGGGGCAAGTTCCTCTAAACTTCCCAAGTCTTGGTTTCCTTGTTTGTAAAAAGGAAGTAGCTTCCTCAAAGCTTTGGTGAAAAGAGTAATTGAAAAACTGTAAAGCCTTGAGGCCTGGCAGATTATATAGGCATGTTCAGTATTAGTTTCTCACAGGTAACTTATTTCTTAATCCATTTGAGAGTTCAGAATGAAGAGATTCTGGAGAGGAAAAAAAAAGCAATATAGAAGTAATATAAGTAGTCACAACATATTAGCATGTTAATGAAACTTTGTTCTATTTCATATTACAATTATGCATTTGGGGAGTTATTTTCTTCTAAAACCCCAATACCTATTCTAAATCATAATTGCATTTCCATTTTGCTGTAGTTTCAATCAAAAAACATTTACTGACAGTATTTTTAAAATGATTTTCACAGAGTGCTCCCAGTAAGTTGGGTATTATTGAATCCGTCTTAAGATAAAAGCCAGGGCTCAGAATGCCTTCATGATCCTTGAAGGGCTAATAATAATGTCACCCTCACAGCTGACATTGGGCTTAGACTGTTAAGGTTTGCTGCCATCGTTTTTCAAAAAGCTTAAATTTTGCTTTGCAGAAATAGGTCTGTAGAATCAGGAAGATACAAAATGTCTGTAATTAGGCAAGAATCATAATGACCTTTTGTTAAAATCAAAGGCAAACAGTTAGAGCATGCAAGATACCATCAAATTCAAAATTATCTTCGGGACTGTAAACCTGAATGTTTCTGCATTCGTGGAACACCAGGGGGCACTGTTGCCCATTCTCAGTGCTGTTTTCCTTAGGTATCAGCTAGCGCTAGTCAAATGTTGAAATTCACAGATTCATGGTGTTCTGATGGCCTTCCCCCCTCCCCCGCCTCCACCATTTCTCAATTATTTTGCTTCAAGGATAGGTGCCTCGAATTCTAAACATATACTGAAAATATTTTGTCTGTGTCACTTTAATTCCTTAAAGGGAAAGGCTTATCCCCCCCCCTTTTTTTAAACCTTTGGGGTTCATATAACAACTCTTATATTTAATTTTTTATTTTTTTTTAAGATTAACAAGCAAAGTTGTATATATTTATGGTGCCCAACATGGCACTTTCATACATGTGTCCATTATGGAATAGCCAAATCAAGCCACTTAGCACATTCCTTATCTTATATGTCTATTCTATCTATTCTCTCGGTAATTTTGTATATATAACATATCATTATTATCAACTATGGTCACCATGATGTACAATGGTTTTCTGAACTTATATCTCCTTTCGAATGAAATTCTATCTTTTGACCAGCATCTCTTCAAACCATGGCTTTTCATTCAACTTTTTAAGACTCCATATAAAAGTGAGATCAGGTGATATTTGACTTTCTGTGACCCTCTTATTTCACTTAGCCGAATGCTCTTCAGGTTCATTCATGTTTTTGCAAAAGGCAGGATTTCCTTTTTAAAAGCTGAGCAGTGTTCCATTGTGTATACATACACAGTTTCTTAATTCATTTCATCTCTTGATGGAAACTGGTAGATTTTATATCTTGGCTGCTATGAACGATGATGCATTGATCGTGAGAGCGCAGGTATTTCTTTGGCATACTTATTTCATAACCTTGGAATACACATCCAATAATGGGATTTCTGGATCATATAGTAGAGTTTTTAACTTTTTTTAGGAAACTCCGTACTACTTTCCATGATGGCCATACTAATTTACATTTCTACCAATGGTGCTCAAGGGGTTCTCTTTTCTCCACATCCTTGTCAGCACTTTTATCTTTGTATTTTTGAAAATAGGCATTTTAACAGATCTTGGGTTATACCTCTTATATTTTAAAAATAAAAGGGAAAAGGAGCTGAACCTGGAGGTACACACCTTTAGTTCCAGTGACTTGGGAGGATGAGGCAGGAGGATCGCAAGTTCAAAGTCAGACTCAGCAACTTAGGGAGGCCCTAAGCAGCTTAGTGAAACTATATCTCTAAAGAAAATATATAAAGGCTGGTGATGGGGCTCAATTGTTAATCACACCTGAGTTCAGTCCCTGGTACAAAAGGGAAAAAAAAGCAGGGAAGGGGTGATGGAAAGCAGCTCATGAGGAACATTCAGTCATCACAGGATCTGTCTAAAGGAATCAATTTTTGTATCTTATACCCGAGGAAATGTTGTTTCAGATAAAGGAAGTGGCCCAAGGTCAGGCAGTGGCCCAAGGTCAGGCAGACAGTAAACAAAGAAGCCAGCACTAAACTCAAATTTGAATGGAGACCCACAGCTTTTCATTTTTCACTTTTTGATCACTTGATTTCCTAGGGCAAACTATTATTAACTTCTAATGATGTCTTCTTAGACTTGGTCAAAAACCAAAAACAATCAGGATAAGTATATTTTAACAATGCCAATTTCAAAAATCTTTTACAATCCATCTAGAGTTTCTGTATTTTTTTCTCCTTAATGATATTCCCCCTAAAGTCAATCTACCAACTAGCTTTGAATATATATATTTTCCTGTCCTGCTTCATTTTATTTCCTAAAGTAAAAAATACCCATTAAATTTTAACACCAGCAAATCTGGGGTGGGGTCTGGGACTCTGCATTTATCATGTGTGCCCTGAAGATACTACTGATACATGAACCACACTCTGAGTAACAAGAATTTTATATACTTTGTATGATATTTTGCCCACCACAGATGCTCTCATATAATAGAAATTATAAAGTAAAATGTAAATGAAAATGACAGTGATATTTTAGCCCAATAGGGCTAAAATATTTAGGACTTATAGCAGCAAGTGTTGGTAAGGATGTTTGAGTGCCTAGATTCTCATAAACTTTTGACAGGGATGTAAAATGGTGGAACTACCTTGTGAAAAGATCTGGTAGGGTTTTGGTCTTCCTTTTTTTTTTTTTAATTAACAAATCCCTACCTCATAGGATCTAGCAGTTCCTCCCCTAGTTATTTATCAAACAAAAATAAAATCACTAGTCCATAGAAAGACCTGTATAAGTATGTTCATAACATCTTTCTTCATAAGAGCCCCCAAATGAAAATAACACAGATGTCTAATACTGGTAAATGCATAAATAAGCTGTGGTTTATCTATAGCACACAATTCTGGCTTCTGATTCTATACCTTGTAAGATTGGCTCAGGTTCTCTCATGAGATTGCATTATGTAGGGTAGGGTTACATCCAGGTTCCCCTGGGGCTGCAGAATCTGCTTCCAGGATGATGTAATCATATTGCTATTTGCAGAAGACCTCAGATTCTTGCCAGGTAATCATCTCCACAGTTCTACTTGAGTGTTCTTATGTCATGGCTGCTGACTTCTATTATATGAGTGATCTGAGAGAGAGAAGTACTGTGGCTCAGGTTGACTGCAAGCTATCTCCAGTCCTACCTTGAAGATCAAAGGCTCTTGATAAAAAGTATGAACTACTGATACACGGCAACATGGATGAACCTCAAATATGTTATGTGGAGGGAATCAAGCAGAAACAAAAGAGTACTTACTATGTGATTATATTTTTATATGAAGCTATAGAAGGTGAAAGAAATCTGTAATTTCCGAGAAGTCCTAACAGAGTTGTGTGGGGACACAGGTAGACAAGATTGCTTAGAAGGTTCGTGGGGGAAACTTGTGGAAGAATGGAATATTATTTATCTTGACAGGCTCATGGGTTACTCAAAGAATATAACCTTTAAGATGCATATATTTCATTCTTTTCAAATTTTATTTAACAAGAAAAGGAACCCTAAACAAATCCTCAACTGTCATTAAGACATGCTGCCAAAATATTTAGAGATGAAGTGCACTCATTTCTATAATGGGCATCAAAATGTGCTAAGAAAATAAGGTAAACTGATGAATGGAGAGCTGGATAGGTAGATAAAACAAACAGAGTAAATGCTAATTGTGGAATTTAGATGGTAGGCATAGGTGTATTCATCCGATTTTCTGTAGACTTGAAAAATTTCATAAGATAATGTTTAAAAGAAAAAAAATAACAGTGAGGGAACATTTCTTCCTATATAGGTAGCACTGACCCTGGCTTGGGGGAGGTACCTTTGATGTACAGTTGGAGAGGTAACAGACACACTATGCTGCCTTTCACCTGTGCTGAGAAAGAAAGAAAAAAAAAAAAAACAAGTGCTCTAGGCAGATTGAAAGCAATCCTAAAAAAAAAAAAAAAAAGGCACAGGCCAGA